ACTCCTTACAGCAGCACATAGAGTACATACACTACACTCACCTCTAGCACAGGTAAAAGTAGCAGTTTAGACACTAAAGAACTTCTTAGGCAAGTAAAGACACACTATCCTGTGACCATGTACCAGCCACAGCTCTCTACATTCAAGCAGTGCCACCCCTATGTACACAGCTATTTTTAGCAGTGTAGTATCTTGCTACTGGAGCCATTCCCTGCCTCATGTTCTCCATATAGGCGGTCTTCACAGACCTGAGCTCTTATATTACCCAGGCAGCCTCATTCATAACTTTGTTTTTATGCACCAGAGGGATGGGAAGTTTGAATCCAGCTTTATCAGTTCATTTTCATCATTGGTTGCTGTGTTGTTTTCCAGGCAGCACAGTTAACCAGCCTCTCTCTCGCTACCTCCACACACTGACTAGCAGCTAGACTCTTACTCTGGTGGCAGATTCCTTACTGTCTGGTACATGAGATACTACAGGAAACATATCCTAATCCAGTCACCCATCATTTGTGGGGAAAGCCAGGATGCAGCTGCAGGCACACAGTAGCTGGGCATGGAGGGAAAAGTCTCCAGGTACCTGGCTATAGTAAACTGGCGAATTCCACAGCCTCTTGGAAAAATGCCACATTCTATGTTCACAGAATTGTGGCATTTATTGCACACAATTCTGTGAACATAGAATGTGGCATTTTATGTAGGTGAGATTAACAGGGCAGTTCACAGGCTATTGGTTCAGTCACTTACAACTCAAGGTTATCCTTGCAATCATGAAATAAAAGCTGAGATACTGGTACCCGATTCTACAGCTACAGAATAGACAGGGCACTGGTCATACATTACATTGCAGAATAAGAGCGAAGCAGAGTCAACTAACTTGCCAGACGTCACATTCATCCCCCATTAGACCAGCATCATCCACCTTCCATTAGAACACCCAAAGCTGCACGTAAGCTATTACAGTCTACGTAGCCCCCACTGTTTGAATAGTCACTGTCTTGAATGCCTTATTATTCTAAAACTTTATTTAGAATCAGTTTAAATATACATATATTTTGATGTCTTGCCTAGTGCTAATCATCTGCAGCATAACATGAGACCAGAGTTCACTGTTGCATTTGTTATCTCTTGTCCCAGGCCTTCACTCAATAAAGTCACTACCTTGCAACCATATTCTCCTTGTCAGATACCGTGTAGCAGGACACTTGGATTTACATGGAGGATATCCAATGTAACTCTTGTGTAGAATGTGAACATCTTTATGTTCTGTCACTCTCGCAGCACTTACCAAACCCTCCCTTTTTAAATCAGAAAGAGACTGCCAAATTTACATGCAAAAAGATGATGAATTGTTTTACAATTGTGTGCTAGTAAAATTTCAGGTTTACAGAGTAAATGCATTGTTCTTTTGTGCATGCAATGCAAGTGTCTCATTAATTGCTCAGTGCAATTCAAACTGAACAGGCTACAGCAGATGTCTAATAACACCATATGAAGGTAGAGTTGCAGATGCAATTGTAAACTTAATTCCTGTAAGATTAATGTTACAACCTGATTATTGCAGTTGTGTATTTTATGTATATTAGATGGTGATACAATCAACCAGGTCAGGACTCCATTGTGTTAGGCCCTGTTCCAAAAGGATTTATAATCTAAAGGCCTAGATCATAGAATATCAGGGTTTGGAAGGGACCTCAAGAGGTCATCTAGTCCAACTCCCTGCTCAAAGCAAGACCAATCCCCAGTCAGATTTTTACCTCAGTTCCCTAAATGGCCCCCTTAAGGATTGAACTCACAACCCTAGGCTTAGCAGGCCAATGCTCAACCCAAAGCTGCTCTGTGCAGGCAGACCACTGTGCCTGCAAAGCCCCCCTTTTTACTTGAGTAAGGAACTTCATGGGCAGAGCTCCACCTGCACAGAGCTCACTGCACAAGATTTAGCAGGTGAGTGAAAAACAAGCTGGTGGGGGGGAGTGAGACATCAAGATGAGGTAACAATGACAGGTTGTTTTAGCACACTGACTGCATGCACACTTCATATGTGTAATAAGCCAAACAAGAGCAGTAATCACTAGCAATTATTGCATGGCAGTATGTATAGATACTAACAGATTGAAGCTTTTCCATCATAACCAGAACAATACACCAGCAACAACCAAAAATAATAAACGAAGAAAACCCTACTCATGCAGTGTCTCTATAACCCAAAAAGGGAAGTGAGACAGAGACATAAAGTTCACCAGGGACTTTGGTACTCCCAAATTGTTTTTTTCTGGAAGGCACTTAAAACACTGTAATGATGGGTGGCAAGGCAAAACCCTTAGGCCTGGTCTACACTACGGGATTAATTCGGATTTAGCAGCGTTAATCCGAATTAACCCTTCACCCGTCCACACTACAGAGCCAGTTAATTCGAATTAAAGGGCCCTTTAAATCGATTTCTGTACTCCACCTCGACGAACGGAGTAGAGCCTAAATCGATTTTGTTAATTCGAATTAGGGTTAGTGTGGCCGCACACCACCGAATTACTGTGTTTAAATTAATGGGGTAGTGTGGCCGCACACCACCGAATTAATGTGGTTAAAAACCGAATTAAGGTGCTTAGTGTGGCCGCGCACAATCGAATTTATACAACCTGTTTCCCAAATTCGAATTATCTAAATTCGGATTAATCCTGTAGTGTAGACATACCCTTAGACAGATAAGATTCACTAATGAATACGCAAACTTTCGGTGCTGGCTACAGTGAAGTAATGAATGGTTCACAATGAGGGTCCTATAAAAGCAGTTTATTTCTTTGTCTTATTCATATCTGATATAATGGCTAAACCACACAAAACTAATTAACAGATCAGACACACTGTCAACCGAGTGAACCGCAAAACTGACAATGCTTACTATACTTAATGCCCATATCTACATAAAGACAAATTTTTATACAATACTCAGCACTTCCAGGGTGTTTTATAACCCAATTCATCCTTACAACATTGCTGTGAGGTAGGTTATTTTTTTTTTTTTTTTTTAAAGATAGATAAGACACTGTTGGTGTTACATAACTGACACCACTCTCCTGACAATTTCTTGCATTTATTGGTTTAACACTGTATTTTAGTGTCCTTTTCAAATTATGGCACATTTTGTATTAATTTATTATTTGAATTATGGTGGCACCCAAAGCCACATGTTAAACACAAATGTATCTGAGACCCAACACCATAAACAGATCTTTTAGGCTTCTTGTAAAGCTGATCAATATTTTTTTTGTAAATAACTACTTCCTTGCTAATTTATTTAAGCAGGTCTGGAATACTGGTTATTTTATACAGTCCCCTATCAATAGCACTCATATAAAATTGCTAGTTTGTTTCTTGTAGTTTAATATTTCAGCAGAGTAACTTGCTTTTTCTTTTTTTTAAACTGTAACTTACTCTATTTTAAGAGTGGCAGGAAAAATACAGGGAGCCCAGAAGCAGTACAAAATAATATTGACTTTTAAAAGATTCAAAACCACAAACTTTAGTGGCCAGATTAGTAAAGAGACATCTGCAAACAAAGACTCCTCTTGACACTGGCAATTCATAATTTCTTCCTCCCAAACATTTAAGAATTAATTTCTTTCCATGTAAGAGAATCTACTATATAACACCTTACTCTCTTTTTGTCAGGTTTTTTTTTTTTTTATTAGTAATGTTAAATACCAGGGGAAAAAAGGCATTTTCCTTCTAAAACTTAACCAAAAGGAATACAAATGTAGTTGTCTAGTTTCCAAAAATAGTTTCTGTCAGGGGTACAACAATGCAATATAAAACTGACATTTGCAACAGCAGAAAAGTCTTTTTTTTTAAATTAAATAGCTTTTAAAGCAATAGTCAGGAGTGCTGACTTTTTGTCCGTTTTAAAGGCGGTCCATCCACACATGTTTTGACATCAGTGTTGTTTTCTTCATCTTCCTCCTCCTCCTCTTCCTCCCCAACATCACCTTTTAAAATTACAATACAAATTAATACCACATATACAAAAAAAACTCACAAATCCATTTCCCGAGGAAAGAAACTGGATGGATTAGAGGACAGAGAAACTCTCTTTTTCCAGGTGCCTAACTGGAGCAAAAGTTGTGGCTGAAACATGCTTTTACCACCCCCTATGAAACCATGTCATTCAAAGTTGTTTATTTATGAATCCTTCACATTCTTTATCTGCTAGTCTCTACCATTTTGTTGTGTGATTCTGCACTGACACTATGTGTAGGGTACAGACAAAAGCCCACAAGACCTGCTTTTGTTATTGGGAAAGGGCACCGCAAGTCTCAATGTTATGTTTCTATCCCCTAAGGCGGAGGGATTGTGACAGCTCTGACCCTCTAGAAACGACTCCTGTGCAAAACGTTCAACAGGTTTACTGGGTTTTCTATTGGAACTGTATGATCTATGTGAGTGATTCTCCACCCTTTCTAGATCAGCACCCTCATCACCCCACCAGGCACCTTCCTATGTAGCAAGGGGAGGGAAGGCCGGTGGACTGGCAACCCCTGAACATGTGGGCTAAGAACCCGAGGTCTGAGTCAATGGAGGATGCCGTGCAGTTACACACACCTGCCTCCGATCCACGTCTCTACCCCCAGGAAGCCAAATGGGGGCTGTCATTTGCCTCACACACACTTTGCGCGATGGTGGAGCAACGGGGCAGGGCTCATCTGGGTGACTCCAGCAGTCTCGTGGCCAATTGATCTGGATGACACATGAGCGCTTGTGCTTTGTCATGCAGCCCCTTCCCTCCGCACCAATGCCCTGCCCAGCTACCGCCCAGAGCAGCGGGGTGGGGGGAGGGGGGCAAACTATGGCCCGTGGGCCACATCCGGCTCGTCAGACCTTTTAATCTGCTCCTTGAGCTCAACTGCCCGGCTCCGCCCGCCCGGCACTCCAGCCAGGGAGCGGGGTCGGGGGCTTGCCCCACTCCAGCTGCCCAGCACTCCTGCGTTACGGGCGTGAGGACACGCATGTTACTCTGGCTGCACAACCCAAATACACCTCAAAAGCCATTAGAGCCTGGAACGTGCAAGCCCAGGTACCTGCTACTTTTTGGCTTAGGTGACTTTCCTAGCAGCCAGAGCCAACTGGATTGTGGGCTGTTGGGAGTTACATGGGAGATTTCTGAGATCAGGGGGCTGGTGAATCTCAATGAGTTCAAGTATCAGGGGGTAGCCATGTTAGTCTGTATCTACAAAAACAACAAGGAGTCTGGTGGCACCTTAAAGACTAAC